TAAAGAACTATTTTATTTACCATTTATGATATTTTTTAATTTATATAAAAAATAATTTTTTCAATAACTATAGTATGTCGCATATTCAATTAAGTTGTTGAAAAGAGTAGTAAAGCCTAAGAAAATTGTTTTTGTAAGACATTTTTTAATTACATAATTTTTTTTATTATTAAAGAGATGAGTTTAATAACTGCAACAAGTGTCAATTTTATAGGTTGATAGTAAACACTTTTACTTCCTTGAAATTTTTAATATCACTGTTACAATTTGAAACAAATTATGTCATTGTTTCAGAAAATCCTATAAAAGGAAATTGAAGTAAATAAATTACAGTTTATGAAAGATTTTAAATATAGAAGTGATAAAGATTATAAGAGAGATAGGAGTAGCAGTCACTATAAGTATACCTTAAGAAGTAGTTATCATATTTCATTATGACATAATAAAATTTAGGATTGTATTATAAACAATAAATAAATTTAAATAACAAACAGACAAGTTTTTAGAATCTCTATTTATAAAATATTTTTTAGTTTAGTGAATTCAAAGAGTTTATATTTTTCATTTACCTTTTTTAGATAAAAAAATATTAAAGTTTAATTTTGCATCAGATGATTATAGTAGTTGTTTTGTATCTTATATATTCGAGGATATAAACTTAGATCTTTAAAAGAAAAGTTGTATAGATAAATGATGAAAAACAGTGTAAAAAAGATTGTTATGTAAACAATATATTTTGAAAATAGCTTTGTCAATTTTTTGAACATTTTAACTATTTGTAATTTCCTGGTATAGTTTTTTGATAAAGATATTGATTCATTGGTTTAAAACTAATGTTTTTAATAATCAATATCATATTTATGTAATGAATGAGTAAATCTTTTTGATGTAAACTGAGTACGCTATTAGTAATAATTTTGAAGGTTTAGTTAATAAAACAGTCAATTTTTTTAAAAAATTGTGTTACTTTATCAGTACGAGCGTTTAAGTAGAAGAAGCAACAAATAATGTGATGCGTGATCTAAGATATATGCAAGACTATTCTGGTTTAATTTTTAAAACTAAAAAAATTATAAGATTTTTGACCAAAAGTTGAATTTTTGCAATCAAGTGTAAATTAAAAGAAAAAACATTTTTTTTAATTTTAACCTTTTTCATCACTTTAGAAAATAAATAACCTAGTGGTGAGGAGAAGACAAGTGACTCCTGAAGATAAGAAAAGAATTGCCTCAGAGATCCTTGTTAGCTTGTCCATAAAAGACATCTCTATCGCATTAAACATAAATTATAAAACTTTTGTAAAATTACAACTAATTTTCTTAAAACAGGTGATATTATGCAAAACCATGTGGTGGAGACATACGTTCAAAATTAACACATAAACAAAAAGAAATAATTTTTGCCTGACTAGATACAAACTGCTTGTAATGGCTTAAAGATTTGTTAGAATAACTGTATCATTTAGTATTAATATCTCTCTAAATACAACTGATTGTTGTTTTTGAGAGTTTCTTTATACTTTTAAGCGGATCATAATAGTACATAAATGTAGAAATTTTGATTCTAACATTTGAGCTAAGGCATGTGTATATAGGTAACTTTGAGAATTAGAAGAACGATATTAGTATAAATTCATGTGTTTTTAGATATGGTTGAATTTACCGTATCAATGCGGACAAACCAAAGGTGTTTGTGTATAGACACATAAGCTTATCTAAGTTTTTTTATAGAAGAAAATATTTCTGTTTTTTCTGCTATTAACAAATATGGTATGTTGTATCATAAAATTAATGATAGGGTTATAAACGGCGAAATTTATAAAACCTGTCTTTGGAAGTTCGAAGAAAATGTAACGATGTTTGTATTAGTACAACTGTCTTTATTCTGGATAATGCTAAAATCTACTTTTATTAAGAGAACTCTGAAATAATTAATAACGTAGGATTGGAATTAGTTTGTTCTCTTATTAGTTATTTCTTAATCAAATAATAATTTTTTTCGTTTAGATAAACTTTATAGCAAATAGTCCTACAACATTCTTAACCTTTAATTAAAATTTTAACAAATATTAGATTTGATGAAGTTTTATCAAAAATTTGTGATGTTTTTTATAGAAAGATATGTTAATTATTCTGCTAAAGGAGAACTTATTCTCAAATAAAATACGTTGATAACATTTTAATTGTTTTTAAACTTCCACAGTTGAATATAAAATTCCTAAATTATTACAAAGATTAGATTTTTTATTAAAAATTTCTATATTACATATTGATACTTCACATTAAATATAGAAAATTTTATTATGTTATTATAAATATCTTAAATTAGATAAAAAAGTAAAGTTTCAAAAGTTATTAAAAAATAATAGAATAACAACACATCACAAAAATTTAAAGTTTTTAACTTTAAATTTATTAAATAAATTATCAAAAACAATATTTTAACATTTCTTAAAATATTTATCTTTTGTTTTATTAATTTAAACATTTATAATAAATTAAATATAATTAAT